TACTGTGCACAAACATACATACATACACATATAAAGTACACAAAACATACATACACACATACTGTGCACAAACATACATACACACATACTGTGCACAAAACATACATACACACATACTGTGCACAAAACATACTTACACACATACTGTGCACAAAACATACTTACACACATACTGTGCACAAAACATACATACACACATACTGTGCACAAACATACATACATACACATATAAAGTACACAAAACATACATACACACATACTGTGCACAAACATACATACACACATACTGAGCACAAAACATACATACACACATATTGTGCACAAAACATACATACACACATACTGTGCACAAACATACATACATACACATATAAAGTACACAAAACAGACATACACACATACTGTGCACAAACATACATACACACATACTGTGCACAAAACATACATACACATATACTGTGCACAAAACATACATACACATATACTGTGCACAAAACATACATACACATATACTGTGCACAAAACATACATACACATATAAAGTACACAAAACATACATACACACGCATTACACACGTATGCACATAGTAAACTTTTTTCATATAGAGACGTATATATATATATATGTATACATACATATCTACGTATTATTATAACGGTAAGCAACTGAGAAATGCAGATACTATGTGTCAGCTGAACTGGTTCACCGTATACTAAAAAGCTCTCTATGTGGGTGGCACTTTGAGGAGCCAAAGGGCACGCGCATCCATGTATGAGCGTGAGCGACAGAGCGAGGGGACTAAAGAGTAGTATTGATTGGGTAAGTTGCTGAGTTGACCAATGGATGGAAGCAGCGTATCATGACGACTAACTGACTGATTTAATTTTTGTTTTAGATTCACTAACAGTTTTACGGCATAAGTGCTGGGGGTAAGAGGTGTTACTAGAGAGTAACGTACAATGAAAAGAATGGGAAGGGAGGTGTGAGGACGATGGTTGTTTGAGAGGGAAAAAAAGCAAGCCACACCAGAGAACCCTCCATTAACCCACATGTGATTGCTTGATGGCCATAATGGTAAATTAATGTCCTGGTGAATATCTGTCTAATTTAGACAATTCAGGAGGGAGGCTACTTCAGTCTTGACTGTCGTCACCAATTAGGGTTGAGCAGAACAATACAACATCTAGTAAAACATAGGGGAGACTAGATGAAATAGCACTATACAAGAGGGGATTCGAACTCGCGTCTTTCGCGTGCAGCAGCGAAGAACTTTTGACCACTAGTCATCACAAATTCCTAATAAGAAAGAGAGACGTCGAGTCACTGAGCACAGGAATGTGAACGTGGTTCAGTTAGATGTAATTGCAACAGCTATGGGGAACCCGCGAAAACTTTTTTAAAAATGTAGGCCTTGGTGTTTTTTAGGCCATTATCTACCCAATTTTGATTATTTAGGGCACAGGCTTCCTATCCTGCCTGTCAAGGCCAACCCCGGGCTGAGAGTGGGTATGCGACATCATAACAGAAAGATCCAGACACTCGATAAAATTATCCCCACTCGGGAATCGAACTGTGGTCTCTGGCGTGCGACAACGAAGCGCCTAACCGCTATACCACAGACGCCGGTGTGAAAATCTGAACTCCCACCATGTGGTTGACAGAACTTCTTCGCCAACAGCAACAATTAATTAGTGATATTGTTGCTAGTGTTCCACTTTGATACATTTCGACATTCCATGGAGGAAAGGAAACAGATACATAAATAGCCCCGATTCAAAGCAGCCAAATAAACGAGTGAACTAAAATAAATGGCGTGGTCACTGTTAGGTATAATATAATGATTATGATAGTATCATATTGCAAAATCTGTGGCAAGACAATGTGGTAGATCTAGATCTACATGTAATTGTTTCTGTATTGTTCTGTTACAAAGACTATGGTAAGACAAAGTGGTAATTGTTTCTAGGCCTTTATTAATTAATTATTATTATTATTACGAGTATTATTATTATTATTATTATTATTAT